ATTGTAGATTATTTATTTTCATTATAAAAGTAGAACAAACTTCACTAGGACGGAGTGATCTATAAAACCTGCTTTTAATTGCTTAGTGATATTTTTACCATAATTCCCTTTGACACTTAATTACATTAGATGTTTTCATTTTGAATTTCATTTGAATGTTGCTGACATTCTGTAGGAACTATGTGACTTCCGATTTGCTAGCAAATTTCGTGACTACAGTTTCATTGTCCTTATGGTTAGTTGAGCTTGATAGCTGTACACTCAGTCCCTCATCGACAGAAACATGGTGAAGTACGACATGCACGCTTTCACTGCCTTTTGCAAAAAGAAGTTCGTTAAACGATGTCACAAATTTCCAAAAGTACATACTTTTCCATAGTTCTCCATGTTCATATCGTACAGTCCTCCCGCGCTCAAAATGCAAGGTTTGTTGCACCTTCCCATCATAATGCAAAGCAATTTCTGGAACTTGGTCGGTACCTCGTACCAGTTGCAGTTGTATCTGTACAATTCCAACATGCAAAACATCTGAGTGAACCTTTTTCTGATTCAAGTGTTCTCTATGCTTTTCGTACCATGCTTACATTCTTTCTGCTAATATTGTGCTGTGGTTCAGTATGATTTGCCCGAATAGGCTGACGATGTACAAATGAAATTGTGCGCACAGAAAGAACAGAATGAATCTGGCACTGTCCAGAGGTTGATTTATATGCATAAGTATCTGCAAAATTAGTAAAATGTAATGCTAGCTTTAAGTATAGAGACATATTTACTTGCACGGCTGTCATGCTGATGAGCGTCATGTTCAACGCAACCAGCAAAAGAAACATATTCTGGCTACATTCCTGTAGTTTGTCGAAAAACCTAGAATAGTAACATTTATAAGTCTCCAATTTTAATTACAAATCTTTTTAAGCGGTACTAACAGCAGAGCTTTATGATGAGTCATCACGCATTGCTTGAACTGATCGTACCGCATTTCAGGGTCTTGTGTTGCTGTTTCAATCTGATATCTATGCATTGTAAGGTATTAGAATCGGTTTGACAAAATTTTTAATTTCTAATTGGATTCGTATATTTATCTTTAGAGTAACGGTTAAAAATCGCAAAGATTCTATATTTTTTAAAAAAGGACCGACGTAAATGTGTTCATGGCGAAGTAACGTTGTTTGCCACAATTGTCATCAGTGTCGCAAACACGATCGTAATATCAGAGGAAGTATTGTAAAAATATGGACACCGAAAGTACTGCATAAAGTATTTTTCCTGGGTTACAATTATGGCGGTCATTTTGTTTGCGGCAGTCAACGCAGTTTCCGCTTCGAAACCACGTACTTTAACGATACCGCCAAAAGTAGACGAACTATTTTGTTTCAGACAGTAACAAGGTTTTGAGTACTCACCCGCACACGTCAAACAATCCACAAACGTGGTGAATGATTAGTATGTATAACGAATCAACGATAGAGACATTATAGACCGTCACGAATGTGGTCCAACCCAAATGTAGAAATACAGCGGCAAAATGATCATCAGCCTCTACAAATACGTAACATGCACCAAATAGTTGTTGCTTCGGTCGAGTTCCATTGATAGGCATTATTAAATCCAGTGTTGGATTTATTAAGGGAATGTATATGAAGACTAGTGCAGCTAAGATTAAGGTGACTGTAAGAAATAGTGATACATTAAATCAGTCTTCTTCATTGACTATAAATACAATCTTCATTGTTTTTATTGTATACCTCTGTAGAACCGTGCAAGTCTACTCCCCTGCGCAGTAGCTTTCTCTAGCACCGGTAGTTCTCTCGTCAGCATCACCCAATCGTTCAGAATAAAATTTAGCAATATTTTAAACTATAATGGAGAATCGTGGGTATACATCATAATACATAAAACTTTCTACATAAAGCCATATGTATGTACGTACACGTTTCTTGTTGAGTAAAATGTTTTCAAATTTAATTAGGCTTACAACGGCTAGAAGTAAATGGGGTAATTCGTCGATTATTGCATCTACATCTGTGTCTTGGATTACGACACATAACTGTATGAACTGTGGAAAAGTGTGATACGAATGTGTGTTGATATACTTTAGTGTAAATTAAAATGTAAGCGATCATCAAACCTGGTGTTAGTTCAACAAAACTAAGAATAATTTTGTGAATGATATCAAAGTAGATTTAAAATTGTAAGAGTATATCACCAGTGGTGTAATGCCTAGGATTAAGGTGTAGAACATCACATTCGCACCGATCTTGCTACCCCAAGTCTCATTGAACGGATTCAATCCGAGCGTCGTTAAATACTTTTTAAGCGGTTTGTAGTGATGGAGATCGAACACCTCCTGCACTTGTTCATTCTGAAATACTGAATATCCACACTTCAATGGAAATCCATTGATTGATAAAATTAATAGCGACCAAATACGTTACAGTCGATACAAATTCACTTTCGCGAAAAATGAAAATACAAAAATAAATATTCGTTAGCTAATGAGTAGCTGAACATTCTCATAATTACTACAGAATTTGTTAAGTGTATCGAGAATTAAGATCCTCTCGTACTGTTATTTCTTGTGGATTCCTTGTTCGGCATTTTTAACTGGTACGGCACAAACGTCGCGATCGAAATATTTCCAGAAAATGTCGCGTGGTTTTCTTTATACCTACATTCTCACCTCGCCGTCAGTTACGATAACTATGTTAAATAAATCAGGCGAATCTGTCGGAGTACTGCGGTCGATAATTCCACCTGCTCTTGATCCGAAGCGTCAAATGCCGTGTCGGTCATGTTTGTTAACTGACAGACGTAGATTAGCTTGTTATTCCCCAATAGTGATATGATATATTGATTCGCAACTGGCAGAGGTTGATTGTTTTAAATAATAAATGATCGCGATAGAACTGAGGGAAGAACTTCGTGGGACCTGCAGGTGGTTTTGAAGTATTTGCTAGTCGGTGTTTATGGCATGTCTCGAGGAGACGATTTTCTTGGCGTCTTCGTTGTAACACGTATCTGTGGTTCATCTGTCTTCTTTGTAACAAGTTTCGCAATTAGCTCTGCCAAATTGTGTATTGCGAAAGACGTTTGTTTCAAAATATTGTGCCGATAAAGCAAGGAGGTGCCGATAGAGAGTGTTGTCTCTTACTCTGCGCCACTAGTCCCATAGCAAGCAGCGCGCGTAATTCGCTTACCTAAAGCGGAGGTACCCCGCGATTTGGAGTGGCCCAGTGTTTGTTTTGTGTGTATGACCATGTTGAATTATTTCGTGAATGCATAAAGTTCCTTTAAATTCTTCAAAAATATTGCCGGCGACATCTGACTGCGTACAAGTGCGGTTAAAGTATTAAAATCATCCGTGCATTGTAGATTATTTATTTTCATTATAAAAGTAGAACAAACTTCACTACGACAGAGTGATCTATAAAACCTGCTTTTAATTGCTTAGTGATAATTTTACCATAATTCCCTTTGACACTTAATTACATTAGATGTTTTCATTTTGAATTTCATTTGAATGTTGCTGACATTCTGTAGGAACTATGTGACTTCCGATTTGCTAGCAAATTTCGTGACTACAGTTTCATTGTCCTTATGGTTAGTTGAGCTTGATAGCTGTACACTCAGTCCCTCATCGACAGAAACATGGTGAAGTACGACATGCACGCTTTCACTGCCTTTTGCAAAAAGAAATTCGTTAAAAGATGTCACAAATTTCCAAAAGTACATACCAAAAAGAAGTTCGTTAAACGATGTCACAAATTTCCAAAAGTACATACTTTTCCATAGTTCTCCATGTTCATATCGTACAGTCCTCCCGCGCTCAGAATGCAGGGTCTGTTGCACCTTCCTATCATCGTACAAAGTAACTTCTGGAACTTGATGGGTATCTTGTACCAGTTGCAATTATATCTGTACAATACAAAAATAAATACATGTCATTGAACCTACTTCCCATTCAAGTGTCCTCTATGCTTTCTGTACCATGCTTACATTCTTTCCGCTAATATTGTACTGTGGTTCAGTATGATTTGACCGAACAGGCTGATGACGTACAAATGAAAGTGTGAGCACAGAAAGAATAGAATGAATCTGGTACTGTCCAGAGGTCGACCCATGTGCATAAGTATCTGGAAAATAAGTAAAATGTAGTGCTAGCTTTAAGTATAAAGACATATTTACTTGAACAGCCGTCATGCTGATGATTGTTATGTTTATCGCAACCAGGGCAAGAAACATGTTCTTGCTACATTCCTGTAGATTGTCGAAAAACCTAGAATAGTAACACTTATAAGTTTCCGATTTTAGTTGCAAATCTTTTTAAGCGGTACTAACTTTAGAGCTTTATGATGAGTCATCACGCATTGCTTGAACTGATCGTATCGCAATTCCCGGAATTGTGATGCTGCTTCAATCTGATATCTGTACATAGTAAGGTATTATAATTAGCTTGTCAAAATTTTTAATTTTTAATTGGATTCGTATATTTATCTTCAGAGCAATGGTCCAAAAATATTAAAGATTCTATATATTTTAAAAAAAGGACCGAGGTAAATGTATTCGTGGCGAATTAACGTTGTCTGCCACAATTGTCATCGGTGTCTCAAACACGATCATAAAATCAATGGAGGTATTGTAAAAATGTGGACACCGAAAGTACTGCATAAAGTATTTTTCTTGGGTTACGAATATGGCGGCCATTTTGTTTGCGGCAGTCAACGCAGTTTCCGCTTCGAAACCACATATTTTAACGATACCGTCAAAAGTAATCGAACTATTTTGTTTCAGACAGTAACAAGGTTTTAAGCACTCACCCGCAAACGTCAAACATTCCACAAACGTGGTGAATGATTAGTATGTATAACGAATCTACGATAGAGACATTATAGACCGTCACGGTCGAATCTACGACAGCGATATTGTAGACGGTCAAAAACGCGGACAAACCCAAGTGGAGAAAAACACCGGTAAAATGTTCGTCAACGTCAATGAAAGCATAATAAGCACATATTAGTTGTTGCCTTGGTCGAGTTTCATTGAGAGGCATTATTAAGTCCAGTGTCGGATTTATTAAGGGTATATATATGAAGCCTAGTGTAGCTGCGATTAAGGTGACTGTAAGAAGTAATCATACAGTAAATTGGTTTGTTTCATTGACTATAAATATAATTTTTATTGTTTTTATTGTATACCTCTGTAAAGCTGTGCAAGTTTACTCCCTCGTGCGGTCGATTTCTCCAGCACCGTTAGTTCATGCGTCCAAACCTTCCAATCGTTCAGGATAAAATTTAGCAACACTTTAAACTGCAACGTAGGACGGTTAGTACAAGGGCTATGATTGTTTATGAGGTAGTATGTTTGTACGTACACGTTTCTTGTTCAGTAAAAAGTTTTCAAATTTAATTAAGCTTGCAACGACTAGGAGTATGTGAGGTACTTGGTCGATTATTGCATCGAAATCCGTGTCTCGGATTACTATACCTAACTGTAAAATCTGTGGAACCGTGGATCCTAGTTGAGATTATTACTTTTGAAGTACGCGATGTAACTAAATAATTCTACCTCTGTTAACATTCGTTAGCATTCCTCCACAGAGTGACAAAGAGAAAATAGAAAAATGTGAAGAAAAAAGAATCACAAAATCACAGATAACTGCAGTTGATGACGGTTTAAAAGTGACTGTAGTCTCTAATTTCGAATGATGGAATATAAAATTGTAAAAGTGTTTTACCAATGGTATCATGACTGTGACTAAAGTGTAAAACACCACATTCACACCGATCTTGCTTCCCCGAGTCTCGTTGAACGGATTCAATCCGAGCGACGTTAAATACTTTTTAAGCGGTTTGTAGTGATGGAGATCGAACACCTCCTGCACTTGTTCATTCTGAAATACTGAATATCCACACTTCAATGGAAATCCATTGATTGATAAAATTAATAGCGACCGAATACGTTACAGTCGATACAAATTCACTTTCGCGAAAAATGAAAATACAAAGATAAATATTCGTTAGCAGATGAGTAGCTGAACATTCTCATAATTACTACACAATTTGTTAAGTGTATCGAGAATTAAGATCCTCTCGTACTGTTATCTCTTGTGGGTTCCTTGTTCGGCATTTTTAACTGGTACGGCACAAACGTCGCGATCGAAATATTTCCAGAAAATGTCGCGTGGTTTTCTTTATACCTACATTGTCACCTCGCTGTCAGTTACGATAACTGTGTTAAATAAATCAGGCGAATCTGTCAGAGTACTGCGGTCGATAATTCCACCTGCTCTTGATCCCGTGAATTGCTGTGTCGATCATGTTTGGTAACTGACAGACATAGATTACCTTCTTCTTCCCGAATCGTGGTAGGATGATTTGATTCGCAACTGACAACTTTCATTGTTGTAAATAATAAATGATCGCGATGGAATTGAAGGGAAACCTTCGTGGGACCTGCAGGTGGTTTTGAAGTATTTGCTAGTCGGTGTTTTTGGCACGTTTCTAGGAGACAATTTTCTTAGTGTCTTCATGGTAAATATACTGTGACACGTATCTGTGATCAACCTGTACGTAATTTATTTATCCTGTTTCAGTGTCTCCTTTTGCAACAGGTTTCGCAGTTCTGGTGAATTGTGTATCACGAAAAACACTCTTGCATTCAAATGTTGTATAGATGAAACACTGTCATATTCACAGTTTCGTTACAATAACTCACGTACATAATAGCTTAGTTCACGTACATGTAACATCCTTCATTAAAATTAACATCAACATTATCGACTAATTATTTATGTTCATTATAAAACTAGAAAAGAATACATGACGACAGAATGGTGGTCTATAAGCTTTAAATATCTTAGTGATTTTACCATGATTTCATCGGAAAGCTCCGCGTAATATAAATTTGTGTATTATGCAACAACTATTGACTTCCGATTTGCTAGAAAATCTTGTTAGTGGATACAGTTTCATTGACTTTTGCTTACTTGAGTTTGATAGCTACACTCACTCCCTCATTGACAGAAACATCGTAAAATATGACATACACGTTTTCACTGCCTTTGGTCAAAAAAAGTTCGTTAAATGACGTAACAAATTTTTGATATGCACTTTTCTTACTTCATACATACTATTGCATAGTTCTGCATGTTCATGTCATACAGTCCTCCCGCGCTCAAAATGCATGGTTTGCTGCTCCTCACTATCATGAAACACAGTAACTTCTGAAACTTGATGGGTACCTCGTACCAGTTGCAGTTGTATCTATACAATGCAAACATAAAAAACATCTCATTGAGTCTTCTTCTCATTCAAATGTTCTCTATTCTTTCTGTACCTGCTTACATTCTTTTTGCTAATACTGTGCTGTGATTCAGTACAATTTGCCCAAACAGACTGATAACGTACAAATGAAAGTGCGAGCACAAAAAGAACAGAATGAATCTGGTACTGTCCAGAGGACGATCCATGTGCATAAGTATCTGTAAAATAGATAAAAGTTGATATGGTTTTAGTTTAAGTACACGGATGTCTTTACTTGAACGGCCGTCGTGCTGATGAGTATCATGTTTATTGCCACCACTAGCAGGAACATGTTCTGAGTACATTTTTGTAGGTAACCGAAAAACCTAGAATCAAATAACGCATCAATAAGATACTTAATTTACAGTTTAATGTAATCGGTACTAACTCCAGAGCTTTGTGATGGGTTATCACGCATAGCTTGAACTGATGGTACTGTACTCTATTTTCTGCTAATGCCATTTCAATCTGGTATCTATAAGAGAGATTGTAATATTAGAATGGACAAAGGTATAAATGTGATTGATTTTGGTATAGCAGTAATAGTGGTTCAGACAGTATTAAGATTCTATAAATTTTGGGAAACAAAGCTGTTGTAAAAGTAGCGAAGGTTGCGAAACAATTGTCAGTGCGTTGTTGGTCACAATTATTTTCACTAATGTCGCAGGTGAAGTGTAATGGAATAATTAATGAAAGGGAAAGTAATAAGGAGAATGACCAGCGTTAGCGAAAATACGGAACAGTCCGTGTTCTTAGTAATTCGGTCTTCAATATGGCTGACGCGGCCATTTTACTAGACAACGTCCTCATATTACATTGTGCTTATCTCGAAACCACATATTGCTCTCACATGTACCGTTAAAATAACCGAATTATATTGATAGATTTAATAAGTAACAAAATTTTGATTGTACTTACCCGCATATATCAAACAATCCACAAACGTGATGAATGATTAAAATGTATAAAGAATCTACGGCAATGACATTGTACACTATCACGAATGCGGTCCAACTCAAATGAAGAAAAACACTGGTAAAATGATCGTCGATATCTATAAATACGTAATAAACACCGTATAGTTGTTCCCTTGGTCGAGTTTCATTTAGTGGCAATATTAAATCCAATGTTGGATTTATTAATGGAATATATATAAAACATACAACGGTCACCAGTAAAGCAACTGAAAGAAGTTCATAATTAGAGAAAAGTAAATAAGCTTAATACATGCAGAAAATTTCTATTAATTATTTACTATGAATTTGTATAATTTTTATTACCTCTGTATAAATAGGCAAGTCTATTCCCTTGTGCAGTCGTTTTCTCCAGCACCGGTAGTTCACTTGTCAGTATCTTCCAGTCGTTTAGAATAAAATTTAGCAATATTTTAATCTGCAATAGGAAAACAAATCTTGTATACCTAAAACATTCTGTGTACAGTAATATAAATACGTACGCGCTTCCTATTGAGTACAATGTTTTCGAATTTAATTAGACTTGAAATGGTCAGGAGTAAATTCGGTGCTTGATCGATTATTCCATCGAGATCCGTGTATCGGATTACCGCACATAACTGCAAAAACTGTGGAATCGGGGATTCGAGTTGATATTACACTTTTGGAAAAGAGGTAATAAAAAAATTTGAAGAGATTACAATACAATCACAGATAACTGCAGTTGACGATTAAAAAACGACTGAAGTAGGTTAAACAAGTCTTTAATATAATTTCGAATGTTGAGCTGTGGAGTATAAAATTGTAAAAGTGTTTTACCATAGGTATTATGCCTAAGACGAAGGTGCAGACTACCACCTTCTGTCTGATTCTACTTCCCCGTGTCTCGTTGTACGGATTCAATCCGAGCATGATTAAATATTTTTTAAGCGATTTGTAGTGGTGGAGATCGAATACATCCTTAGCTCCTTGATTCTGAAATGCTGAATATCTGTGCTTTACTCAGAATTTTAACTCGGTCTTCAAAATGACTATCCAAGTTACAGTAAATATAAATTAACACTTTCGCGATAATTCGATTATTAAGTGTCGTAAGTAGACGAATGAACCTACTCATAATTACTGTATTAAGATGAGCGAGAATTAATGAATGTAACAAGTATCGCGCGTACTGTTTTCGTCTGCCTCAATCGCGGACATTTTCACTGGTACGACACCGTACAACCGTCGCGTTCGAAATATAATACTTCGGCAAATGAATGGGAGGTGTACCTTATAGGGTCATTGTCGTATCAACTCCCGTAAATGATGCTATTGAATAATTCAGTCCAGTATCGCAGGGTAAGATAGTTCCAGTCGTTCGAGGCGTCAATCATTTTACCAACCCTATCGATGCACTGACGGATATTCGTTATTGTGTTATATTGAAAATGACACGATATTGTTTAGCACTCGGTAGCAGAACTATACTTGGTAGCTTTAAGTAATCCATGAAGCTGTCGTGTAGCGACGAGAGACCCTCGAGTAGTAAGCGGGTGACTTTGTTGCATTCGCTGGTGAGGATTTGTGAAAGAGTTATCGCTAGAATGTAAATTATTTCCCTTGCGATTGCTAGGACGATACGGATTTATGTCGACTGACTCGATGTAACCGGAATTTGTACTAGGAAAAATAGTCAAGGCAATTTATATTAACATTAACTGTATTTTGTGCTTGCACAGTAAACATAGTCTGGTACGTGATATCTACCATACTCGGATTCCATCAATTTTTCTCACCAACCTCAACATTTCTAATTTTATATGAAAAATTTGTCCACGATTTATCTTAACTTTTACTCGAATCCCACTCATTTATAAGAGATCTGTTTTGGATATTAGTGTCATTAAATATAACAGTGTCATTAACTGGACACAGCAGTGATAACATCAGATTCATGTGCCATCAACGTTGACGACAATTACACTCAGTATCAGTTACATATAGAAAATTGTGGATTACTATTTATGCTTATCACTCAATACAACATTATTGTGCGTCCTTTATTAATTACAGTAGCAACTTAGTTTGCAATTTCTAGCTTCGACAATTTTCTTGTTACTGAACTGTCTTAACAAGAGAGATATTCGAAATATCAGAAACTTGGTCGACAAGCTAGATTCAAACATCTACTCGCAAACCAGTGATCAATTGACAAATATTACTTGTGATAAAAAAGTTAGTCCTTCCAGAAATTAACCAATGTTTGCTAGCAAGTTTCCTCAGCGTTGCATTTTCATCGTCATTGTCAAGATGGCTTCAAGTGGCGCGTCATATCATTCCCGCATTGACAGAAACATTGTGAAATACGACATGCACGCCTTCACCGCCTTTTGCCGAGAAAATGTTGCTCGTTAACGTATATCCAAGCACAACAGATTTCGAATGCAATACATACTTTCCCATAGTTCTCCATGTTCATGTCGTACAGGCCTCCCGCACTCAAAATGCACGGTCTGCTGCATCTAATTATCATTTTGAAAAGTAATTTCTGAAACTTAATCGGTATGTCGTCCCAGTTGGAACCGTATCTGTCGTATTCAAAAGTGACAAATGTTACATCGATCGAATCGTACAATGTAGTTCTCATTCACTCAAAACGTGGTCAGTCTCCGCAGAGTATCGAATACTTACATTTTTTCTGGCAGCAGTAAACTGTGGTTTAGCACGATCTGCCCTAACAGACTGATGATGTATAAATGAAAATGTTCGCCTAAAAAGAACAGGACAAATCTGACCGAGTCCAGAGGTCGATCCATGTAGAGTATTATCTGTGAAAAGAGTGTATGAGCTTCGATATGTTTGATGGCTAAAGATATTTTTACCTGGACTCCCGTCGTGCTGATGAGTAACATGTTCATTCCGACCAGTAATAAATTCATGCTCTGGCTGCAGGCCTGTAGCAAATTGAAAAACCTAGAAAAAATGGAATTGATGATTATGTTAATTCGCATTTCATTTTAATGTCGGTACTAACTCTAGAGCTTTATGATGAGTGATCAGGCACTGCTTGAACATTGCATCTTTCACTTTTTCCTCTCTGCACGCCATTTCAACCTGATATCTGTACAACGGTAATTATAGTTAGAACGTAGACGTGTGAAGATTCTTGTTCATTGCTTGTCGAGCATCGTCGATGATACGAGGATGAAGAGATTCGTATACTTGCCCACACACGTCGAACAACCCGCTAGCATGGTGAATGATAAGCATGTACAAGGAATCTACGGTGACGACTACGAACACGGTCAAAGACCCCGCCCAAAACATGTGAAGATAAGTGAATATAAAGTGGTCATCAGCGTCGAAGAACACGTAATTAACTTGAAACAGTTGATGTCTCGGTCTACTTTCATTCCGCGGTAATATGATATCCAAAGTCGGAGGAATTAACGGGATGTAATTAAAAATCATTGTAAACGTCAGCAGGGTAACTGAAAAGTACATCCACAGAACATGATCGAATAATTGTCTTCATTACAATTTTATACCTCTGTATAAATGCGCGAGCCTGTACCCCGTTGCAGTGATCTCGTCCAGCACGTGTAATTCGCTTCCCATTGTTTTCCAGTCGCGTACGATTCGATCTAATAATATTTTTATCTGCAATAGAAAGTAAGTGTAATACACAGTAGAAGCCTTGAAGTAATCTGTACGTACGCGTTCCTTGTTCAGAAAAATGTTTCCGAATTTAGTTAGGCTTCCGATGACGAGAAATATGTGGGGTAGCACGTCGATTATTTCGTCGATGTCTTTCGCGAGGATCGCTACGTATAGTTGTAGAACCTGTGAAATTGTGGACTCGATCAATTCGTTTATTTTAATACGGTGTACAGTAAATAGGATATTATATGTATGTTTATTATGTGTACAACATTAAAATATATACATACATAACGTTTTATATATATACATATATAACATTACACACACACACACACATATAGTTCGACACCCTAAATATTTCAGTGGTAATAAATATACTTTGATGGGTTTGGTCAGATAGGACTAGTATAAAATGCAATATAATGAACTCAATCCTTGACAAAATTGCTAACTCTTACAGTATTCAAGGTTTCCTTGATACACTCTGTATTGTGACATCGTAATTCGTTACGAGTACTCTTCACTGTACCCTCCATTGCAACTAAAACACCGCGTGGTTGAATAAACAAAATGTCTTAATTCTCTTAATTCGTAGCCTGATCGTTAAAGTGTATTCGTTTTCCTTATTCCCGTACACATCTGTACCATTCCCGTATTCCGAGCTGTCGCTTTGAAATCAATTTATTCTTTATTGTTTCAAAAATTTCGAAGCGGAACTCGAACTATAATGAACTCGCGCCGGTATACCCGCGTATAATGGGAGTTGCGGGGGACGCCCCCACAAGTGTCGTTACACAGTGAAACAAGTATGCGAAACTTTCAATTCCGGTTATAATCTGTTGAAAGATATAAAATTGTCTTACCAGTGGGATTATACCTGAGATCAAGCTGTAAAACACGACATTGAGCCTAATTTTGCTTCCCTGAGTCGCGCAGTAAGGATTCAGACCTGTCACCGATAAAAATTTTTCGAGCGCCTTGTAGTGTTGCAGAGCGAATACATTCTTCACCTGTGTTTGTTGAATCTGAAATGCTGCACATCCTCGTTAAATTATAAATTACTTTCGAATTTAATTTTAAAAATTAAAAAAGTCCATTAGCTAACAATTTTACGAAATAAAACTTCGGAAATTAAATGATACGTTCATTGCGTAATTGATATGTAAGAAAATGCGCGGTAGTTACTGCAGATTAATGGCGGGATTAAAAATAAGTATGGCGCGATTAAAAGCAAAAATGGCGCGTACAGTTTTTGACTTCTTTCTCGAGCTGCAACATTGTCACTATTGCGGCGGTTACAAATATTGCTATCGAAGTAGTCGGATAAACTATGGGGACGGCACTTTATACATCGATTGTCTTGTCACCTTTACTTGAAGGAACACTACCAAATTAGTCTCCGACACATTGCACTTTATCGTGACCTGTAATCACATGTGCATGTCAATGTGTGAAAGTGTAATAATAGTTCTTCCGAATCGCAGATGTGAATCGCAATGTCAATATCAGATGTGGCACTTCCCAAGCAATTTGAAGTAATTCCCGCGAAGCTTCTTGGGGAAACATCCGCCGATGGTTTTGACACGTCGAATTGCCTTCGATTGATTTCTCAAAGTCGTAGAAGTAATTCCAAACAGAAACAATAGATCCCTGCAGTTTATAGAAATGCATCGTCGAGTAAGCTCATATGCTATTATGGTTGTGTTCACAAAATAGTGGTATGTTTATAATTATGTAGTTGTAAATTTTTCACAAAAGTATTTACAATATTTCTAAACCAATAGTTGAGTGTTGCATTTTGATTTAGATTCACATTTCATCAAGACAAGACTGACAAGTATTAAATGTTTGTTTCAGTAATTGTCAATGTTATTATGGAAAATGTAAATGAAGGAATGTTATTTATTCTAGTTGGTATCAGTGTAAATAACACGGAGGACATTTTATTCAACTATTAAACAAAAATATGATATAACATATTTTGGACTTTGGCTAATTCTATGTACTTATATACACTCTACTACAGAAATAACCCATAGTATTTTTATAAATTTTTATAATTGGTCTAAATTCAGGTCACAAATGCAACATGAGCAACGATGAATCACTCCCTCACCGACAGCAGCATTGTGATGTACGACATACACATTCTGAATGCCTTAAACAAATTAATATATGTTTTGAAGGAATGTTGATTAAAAATTACTGGTAAATTATTTAGTGTGTGTACACATTGCAACGTACCGATGCAAAGTTCTCCATATTTATTTGATACAATCCACCGGCTGTTAGTATGCACAGTTTGCTGGCCCTTATTTGCATGAGATATATCATCCTTTGAATTTTTATGGGTGCCTGATGCCAAGTAGAACAGTACCTATTACAAGATTGGAAGATTTAGAATTTAATTAAAAATTTCCTGTTTGCATTGTGTATGTCAGATCTGATCGTTAAATATGAGAAGAAATAGTTAACTAGTTTATTATTTGAAATTTCTGTTATTACAAGAATATTTAATATTAATAATATAGATATACTATTATATAATATGTAATGATATTTCTATTAGTCTTGTGATTTAATAATATCTTTATTACTCTTGTCTATAATTCTTTTGTTTATTTATTTTATTTTTATTATTTCAGATGTCAACTTTTCATCTTCAATTTTGAGTTCAGATCTGATGTGCAGTATCTCAAGATTTTTCCAACAAAATACATGCTATGATATGTTCTTTTGTACTTGCAATATTTGCTAATAATTTATCATGAGGTATAAAATTTTTATTCTACTATTTTGTTAAAAAAATTGAGATACTTTGTATGTAAAAATATGTGTGAACTGCACAGGTGAACTACGAGTTCTGAACAATGATCTATGAGCACTTGTCCAGGTAGACTAATGACGAACAGGTGAAATTGTTCAGCGCCGAGAAATACTGCGGTTCTAACCGCCTCTTCTGTTTTATCGGAATCCAGGTTCAATACCGTCTGAAAAAGAATGAAACACTGATTAATATATTCTTATTTAATAATATATTAACTATGATAAAAATAGTAAAGCAAATTTTGCCCTGTGATTGCTTTCTCTGATTAAAAATAGTAACTTCTTGTATTGAAAGTATACCTGAACGGCTGTGACGCTTATACCAATCATGTTGAAGCCGATTTGTAGTAAATAACTGTTCGTGCTGTTCTCCTTCAGTATCTCGTAAAACCTCATAAAAAATAAATACATCAGTCGAGTTCGACGATGGAATTGTTTAATATTCGTTAAACATATCCTCGTTAATTTACGACAGTCTCATGTTTCAACATTTTCATAAGAGCATTATTAACATATATCAAATCATGTTGAATTTTCTTGTAAAATTAATCTTAAAAATAATAGGAGTTTTTTATAAATAAATAGCGAGGTTAAAGATTGTCGTAAATTAATAGTGACACATTATACATAGATCAGTATTATTTGATCGTTACAAACTGGAGAGCCTTGTGATGCGTGAGCACACAGCGTTTGAAGCGTTGACAGTCGTCCTCTGCTACTGTAGTTCTATCGCTGTTCATGTCGTAGCATTTCGTTGCCTTCTGCACCTGGTACCTAATTAATTAAATAACAATTTATTAATAGTAATGTACCAACTGAGTACTAATAGTAACTTAACTTATTAATAGTAATTTACAAAGAGCAATTAGTCATAGTATTATTGGTAAATATTACTATTTATTACTATTGGTAAATCATTACTAGTAAATTAAGGTACTGTGACTAATTGCTCTTGGTAAATTACTATTAATAAGATTTGCCAATGGTAATCACTACTAATTATTTAATTTATTAATAGTAACTTATTAGTAGTAATTTAACAATAGTAATCACTACTGGTAAATTAAGATACTATATTTGTAGTATTATTAGTAAATATTACTATTTATTATTATTACTAATATATTACTATTGGTAAATTACTACCAGTTAATTAAGGTACTGTGGCTAATAGGTAATAACTGTAGTACTATGCTCTTAGTAAATTTCTATTAATAAGTTAAGTTAAATAACCAACTATTTAATTTATTAATAGTGATTTACTATCAGTAATAATTAATAGTAACTGCTAATAGTATTTCAATAATAATCTACCAATATTAATTTAATTTATAATTGCAATCTACTACTAGTAATTACTAATTTATTATGCTTACTAATTAAGTTATTATTAATTTATTATGCTTTCTCTTGACATAACACAGCGCCTCACCCGCACACAGCAAACATTCCACTGTTATAATGAATGATGACCATGTACAAGGAGTCGATGGTGATTATACCCGTCACTATAATGAACGCGCCTATAGCCAATTGAAAATACACGGGAAAGAAGTAATCCCTCTCATCGAACACCACGTAATTCACTTTGAACAATTGCTGTCGTGGTCGGGTTTCGTTTAAAGGTAAAACGACGTCCAGAAGAGGGGCGATCAATGGAATCATTAAGAATATTCCTAGGGCTCCCAATAGTGTACCTAGAAAAATACAAACTATTAGAATTTGTAGGACTCCTGAGGAAGAAGTTTAGGAAATTAGTATTTAGAGAAAATGTAATTAATGAAAAATTAATATTAATATAAAATGTAACTAGTCAAAAATTAATATTTGCAAAAAATATAACTAATTAAAAATTAATATTTACAGTAAATATAACTTGTTGGAGATTAATAGTTAGACAAAATGTAACTAGTGAAAGATTAATATTAATACAAAATATAACTAGTAAAATATTAATATTAATATAAAGTGTAGCTTTCAATTAAGTTTCACTAAGTAAAAGTTAATTTTAATCTATACAAATTGACAATAGAAATATAATTTTTAACTAAAGAAATAGAGAAGTTAATCTTTGTAATAAAAAAATATTTGAACTGAAGGAGATGTACTAAAATATTGGTACATTGCTATACAAGTAGGTAATTATTCTTGAAGTACATGTACATCTGACAAGCTGACAGTTTAGAATTAATTGTAATAAGCTTATAGCTTATGCCATGTGCAACTAATTCTTGTGGTCTCTACTGGTACAATTAATTTTTATTACAATTAATTTTATGAGCTATAATCGTTCCTACACTTACTCCTGTACAATTGAGCAATTTTACTTCCTTGTTCAGTAATTTTATCAAGGACATCCACTTCGTTGTTCATTTCCAATAATTCCCATTCTTCTATCATCAGTTGATACAATCTTCGAAACTGCAATATATTTTTATTAATTTATTATTCAAGCATTATGCGGAATTATATTTAGATTATTACCTACATTTTCTTTGTTCAGATGACCGTTTAGTATTTTGACGATGGTTGTTATGGCGGCGATTAAGTGCGGCATGCATTCGATGACGGCGTCCATGTCTTTTTCCAGCAGCGAAACGTACACTTCAATTGACTGCAACATTTTTCAAGTTTAATTTAAGCTTTCATTTTTGGAATTTTAATTTAATATCATTTATTGCAATTTTAATTTCATATCTTTTTTTTGCAATTTTAATTTAATATCCTTTTTTGCAATTTTAATTCAATATCTTTTTTTTTTAAATATTAATTTAATATCTTTTTTTGGAATTTTAATTTAATATCATTTATTGCAATTTTAATTTCATATCTTTTTTTTGCAATTTTAATTTAATATCCTTTTTTGCAATTTTAATTCAATATCTTTTTTTGCAATTTTAATTTAATACCATTTACTGCAATTTTAATTTAATATCTTTTTTTGCAATTTTAATTCAGTATCTTTTTTTTTGCAATTTTAATTCAGTATCTTTTTTTTTGAAATTTTAATTTGATATCCTTTTTTTGAAATGTTAATTTAATATCATTTATTGCAATTTTAATTTAGTATCGTTTTTCTGAATTTTTATTTAATATTTTTTTTTTAGAATTTTAATTTAATGTTAAGATTCAAGATGGCGACTAAATGCAATGTAATATAATTTCTCTTACCGTAGGAACAATAACGCCAAGTAAACCAAGCACCATCACAACTGTAATAACGTTACGAGTCCCATTACCTTGATACGGGTCCTGTCCAAAAAGTAACAAATATTTCCTCAGCATTTTGCAATAAGGAATGTTGTACACGTTGCTGCATGGCCCATTTTCCTGCAACACTGATCTCTCATTTTTAATACCACACAATCACAACAACGGTAACAATATTCTACTTTTATCAATTTCAATTCTTCTTAAAAATTAAATAATACTTATTGTACAATCAATTTACAAATTCTTTACACATCAACTTTTCTCACAATTAAAAAAATAAAAATTCTCAAACAGATTCAACGAAGTCAAAATTTCAACAGAATCAATAAAAAAGAGAAACTGCGACATTCCACGAAGAAAGAAGATATCCCTACTGTTTCAAGTCGAAGTCCTCAGCGCGAAAAGGATTGTTCAAACAGTTGTGCAGTTAAAACAGTGGACATTCGATATTTCGCGAAACGTATGGATTAATCGTTCGCTGGCAGGTGTAGATTGCGGCATCATATTCCAGGGGCGAAAGGGTTCAGTTATTGAAGGGTTGAAAATCTATAGGTCGCTCATGCGATATTAATGAAAGTTCGACATCGCGTATTGTGTTTCGATCAAGCGAATCATGACACGATTGCGGTGTCACGGATCGCGGTAATTGTAGACGATTGTGTGGTTAACTGGGAGAAGGAGAACTTCAGTGGTGGGGCTGTGCGATGCGTTCAGTTGCTTGCGTTCGTTTGGCATTCTCGAATCGATTCTTGCTTAGATGAGTTATTCTTCTGTTACTGTGGTGATATAACAGTTACGAGATGTAATTAATATGTGAGTGGTGTTTGTGGAATATTGGATACTCTTTACAATTTAGTTCCATTGTGAAAATGATTTGATATTGATTTTGGTAATTGATCTTTTGAATTTTGTTGATAGATAAATAGAGATTGAAAGATCTTGTGAGATAAACAACGTTCTAAATTTCTAAATATTTAGGTTTGTAAATTCCTAAACTAAATTACCAAATTTCAAAATTTTATATTCTCAAATTTTTTATTTTTTAAACATTGAAATCCCTAGAGTAGTAAATACCTAAAGTTCCAAATCCCTAGAAGCCCAAATCCTTAGAGTCAAAAATCCCTAGAATCTTAAATCTCTAAAGTCTCAAATTGGGGTTTTTAAATATTACACTCCCAAATCTCTAGAGTTCCAAATTCTTACATTCCTAAATGCTTAGAATCCAAAATCCCTACATTTCTAAATCCCTAGAGTCCCAAATTCCTAAAGTCCCAAATCCCTAGAGTCCCAAATCCCTAGAGTCCCAAATCCCTAGAGTCCCAAATCCCTAAAGACCCAAATCTGTAATGTCTCAAATCCCTAAAGTCCCAAATCCTTAGAGTTCCAAATCTCTAAAGTCCCAAACCCCTAAAGTCCCAAATCCCTAGAGTTTCAAATCCCTAAAGTCCCAAATCCTTAGAGTCCCAAATCTCTAAACTCCCAAACCCCTAAAGTCCCAAATCCCTAGAGTTTCAAATCCCTATAGTCCCAAATTCCTAGATTTCTAAATCCCAATAGTCCCAAATCCCCACATTCTCATCTCTTAGGAAGAAAGAATGTAGCAGGGATAAATTAGACATTAAAAACAAGTAATTATTATAACCACTTTATTTCTAAATCCCCCTACATCTACGTCAACATCTCTCTGGATCTTGTCACATTAATAAAATGTGTATTAACAAAGCCGTTCTATTGTCCGTGTCCTGGTGAGTCAAATAACACCGATGACAGACACGATCGAACCTTGTTCGCCGATGTTGATCCGTCATTCCTTCAGCGACAGCAGCATCGTGACGTACGACATGCACGACTTTAATGTCTTTAAAAAAAATTCACTGTACAGTGTATTTATCTGCTTAATCACTTCTAACTGTATCTATTTTATACAAATTTTAAATTGTACTAATTTAAATTAAGTTTGAATTACGTACGCTTCCAAAATTCTCGATACTCATTTCGTATAATCCGCCAGCAGTCAGCGCGCAGGGTCTGTTCGCTTTTATTTGCATAATTTTGATCATCTTCTGAATTTGTAAGGGTGTCCTGTACCACTTCGAACAGTATCTGTTACAAAATACATGAAACATTAGACAATTATTGATTGAAATTACTTACAGATGTCAACTCGTATGGCGCGTGATCAACCCACATTTTGACCCAATAGAGCTACAGAATAATAACCTCACACGTATTGGTTCCCTGTTACTAAAAATTCATACAGAACATGTCATTTAAGATGTGTTCTGTCAGAGATGCTAACATATCTATATAAACACCGTCGATCTTTCAAAATATTAGGACCTTGCAACATGTCCTATGGACCATATGTTCTGCAGACAAACCAGGAGCTGGCGCATAGGAGGCAGACCCAGGAGGAACCATGGCCCCGATTGGTCAGAATAGATAAATGGCCTTACACGTATTTTCGGTATTGGTTCCGTCACTAAAAATTCATACAGAACATGTCATTTAAGATGTGTTCTGTCAGAGATGCTAACATATCTATATAAACACTGTCGATCAAAATATTAGGACCTTGCAGCGTGTCCTATGGACCATATGTACTGCAGACAAACCAGGAGCTGGCGCATAGGAGGCGGAGCCAGGAGAACCATGGCCCCGATTGGTCAGAATAGATAAATGGCCTTGCACGTATTTTCGGTATTGGTTCCGTCGCTAAAAATTCATACAGAACATGTCATTTAAGATGTTACGTTCTGTCAGAGATGCCAACACATCTAAATGAACACCGTCGATCTTTCAACGTGTTAGACCTTGCTACATGTCCTGTGGACCATACTGCAGTCAAACCAGAGCCGGCGTTGGCTGACCCAGTAGGACTATCCCAATTGGTCAGAATAGAAAAATGGCGTCACACGTATTTTCGCCGGTATTGTTCGCCCACAATTGAGTGAAAGAACAAGGACAGGCAAACGTTTCGAGTTGTCACTATGGAACGTCACATGGGACTGTTCTACGGTGGGCGTCCCTTAAACCTGGCTCCAACGCGCCAGGAACAGGGTTGTCTATACTCCACGCGCCAGGAACAGGGTTGTCTCCAGTACATACCGTAGTCGAGCCAGGAATTGGCACGCGGTGGCTGACCCAGGTTTGGAAGAACCCAATTGGTCAGAAGAGAAATGCCTCACACTTTCGGTATTGGAAATTAGGCGAAAATGACAGGCAATTAGTGCGAATTGTAGTTATTTGAAACTGTAAGGATTCTTTTGGGTCTCGTGGGTTGACATCTGTACATTGTTTATAGTATATGTTATAGTACATGTTTTTCGCCAGCTGCGCACAGTGATCCAACAACACCTGGCCAGGTAGACTAACAACGAATAAGTGGAATTGCTTAGATATGAGAAGCACGCCGGCTTTCATTGCTTGGTCAGGTTTATCCAGGCTGGAAACTAGCTGAAAGAAACATATCACTATTAAATATTAACCAGATCAAATTTTTATATAATAACTCTAAAAAAAAAAAGGTCTTAAGTAAAGATTGGAGGATATTACATGAGTCCATAATTTAAACAAGTCTTCTTACCAGAACAGCCTGCACACTAATCCCCATCATATTCAACCCAACTTGAAAAAAGTAGTTCTTCGTGCTAGTTTCCTTCAAAATCTCATAGAACCTGAAAACAGTTAGAATCAACAACTGTTTATCGACCAGTTACCTGACTACGAACTGTAAAGCCTTCTCATGCATGACCATGCAACGTTTGCATTGATATATCTGATCAGATATTCGACCACCGACCGCGTCAGACATTTCCGTCACCTTCTTGATTTGCTCCCTGCAATGAAATTACATTCAAGTATTTCTGAAGAATTGTCCTCCGTTCAGTTTACCCGCACACAGCGAACAGTCCGCTCGAGTGATGAATTATGATGATGTACAAAGAGTCCACGAATCCTATAACCATGACGATGACGAACGTGCTCCAAGATAGCTGCAGGTACACGGAGTAGTAGTATTCGTCCTTGTCGAAGAACAGGTACTCGACGTTGAATAGTTGCTGTCGCGGGCGTGTCTCGTTTAGGGGTAGAATGACGTCTAGGACACTTGGAAGCAACGTGACCGACAGAAATATTGTCATGGATGACAGTATGCAGGCTGCAAACGTTAGAATACACAGAATTTTATTAAATGTCACAAATGTAGGGACGTCAATCTACAAGCTGGGGTGACCCAAAGGAAGTCTGTCCAATAGTGTTACTCTTTTATTTTGATCAATTGCCTTAGCTCTAACAACTTTACTTTATTGTTCTAATTTCATACAAGCTCTAATATCTGGGAGCTTGGGAAGGCTTCCTCTAATTTCACCCAGGCTCTAACACCTGGGAGCTTCAGAAGGCTTCCTTTAATTTCATCCAAGCTTTAATAGCTGGGAGCTTGAAAAGGCTTCCTCTAATTTCACCTAACCTAACCTAACCTAACACCTGGTCACACCAACTCATTGACCAACCACTCAGAGATACCTACTTCTATAGATACGCGCAACGGTACTCGCTAGCTTGGTGAGGTCCTCCAAAGGTTTTAACTCATTATTCAGTTTCAAGTTCTCCCACTCGTCCGCCACCATATTCAGCAACTTTCTAAACTAAAAAAGACTTGATACTTTATGCATTTGATACTTTCAGTTTGATACTTTCAGTAAATAACATACGTTCGCTTTGTTTAGTTGCAGGTTCGCTAGCTTGACGATGCCGATGGAGGAGGCGATGAAGTAGGGCAGCGACTCGAACAGTGCGTCCATGTCCTTATCACGTAGCGCCTTGTGGAACCCTAAGAACTGTCGTACAATGTTGTAACTTGCTGTGTCAACTCTTTTAGCAGTAGGGTAGTGTGCTAGATTGTTGCATATCAAATAGTACATCTCAAGCTTTCTGTTTCTGGAGGTAAAATATCACTTATGGCTTATCAATTTTAATTGAGGATATGTAGATATTATTATGACTGATTGTATCTATAGGAACACTGGTTGACAGCTGCAGCTTTGTTTTACTGCAAGTAAATATGTAATTTGTTACATTTGCAATGGTCAGCCATTTAAGCTATAGGTAGCCATTAAGATATATATAATATAATGTAGCTATTTTGTATTAGGAATATCAATAACAAGGTACTTGTTTTAGGTAACTGCTTTTGTAATAATTTGAGCTTCAGAATGATATGCCACAAGCTATTTTGAAATATTTCAAAATATTTCAAAATAATTGCATTAAATGAAATTTTGTATATTATGTCTGCTGTAGTCGGCCATTTTGTTTTACAAATATCCATGAAACCTTTAGGCAGCCATTTTGCTAATACCTCAGCTTCAAAATGACATATCACAAGTGCATTTTACAATACTTTCACTTAATTGCATTAAATATTAAATTTCAAAATATGTTTCTCTTTTTGTACCAATATGGACTATTTGATATGCAATAACATTCATAAAGTGATTATCATCTTACTGTAGGAATAACCATACCAAGTGCGGTGCACGTCACTAAAAAGATAATGAAATTACTAAGCATGTTATCTTGATAAGGATCCACTCCCAGAAGTCGCAAACTGTTTCTGAACATTTTGTAATATGGTATGTCGTACACGTCCAAGCATCCTCTTCTATTCTCCTGTAACACTGAGAACCTTGGACTTGACTACCTTAACAATTGTACTATCAGATTACTATACTCTTTATAGACACTATTACATTTGTTAATCGGTACAGCAAATAGCTTCAAACTTAATTGTAATTAATATAACAAAATTGTGGTTAATTTGTTATTTAGTATACTGTTTGATAGCTTCAAACTTAATTGTAAAGGATACAACTTAATTGTGATTAATTTGTTAATTGGTGTACTGTTTGATAGCTTCAAGCTTAATTGTAATTAATATAACTTAATTGTGGTTAATTTGTTAATTGTTATACTGTTTGATAGCTTCAAACTTAATTGTAAAGGATACAACTTAATTGTGATTAATTTGTTAATTGGTGTACTGTTTGATAGCTTCAAGCTTAATTGTAATTAATATAACTTAATTGTGGTTAATTTGTTAATTGTTATACTGTTTGATAGCTTCAAACTTAATTGTAAAGGATACAACTTAATTGTGATTAATTTGTTAATTGGTGTACTGTTTGATAGCTTCAAGCTTAATTGTAATTAATATAACTTAATTGTGGTTAATTTGTTAATTGTTATACTGTTTGATAGCTTCAAACTTAATTGTAAAGGATACAACTTAATTGTGATTAATTTGTTAATTGGTGTACTGTTTGATAGCTTCAAGCTTAATTGTAATTAATATAACTTAATTGTGGTTAATTTGTTAATTGTTATACTGTTTGATAGCTTCAAACTTAATTGTAAAGGATACAACTTAATTGTGATTAATTTGTTAATTGGTGTACTGTTTGATAGCTTCAAGCTTAATTGTAATTAATATAACTTAATTGTGGTTAATTTGTTAATTGTTATACTGTTTGATAGCTTCAAACTTAATTAATATATTAAGTTTTTGTATTAAGTTTGAAACTATCAGTATAACAGTATAACAATTAACAAATCAACCACAATTAAGTTGTAGTAATTATAATTAAGCTTGAAGCTATCAAACAGTGCACCAATTAACAAATCAATCACAATTAAATTATATTAATATAACTTGTGATTAATTATAACTGTAAAATATTGTCAGAGCTTTCAAATGAAACAAATTGCATTTATTTGAACTTAGAATGTATACTAAATACTATGTATACAATATACTACTTTTATACTACATATAGAAAAAAGAATATGACAAAACTGAAGTCACAAGAATTTCCCTCCAAAATTTCATCCCTCACTACTTCATTCTTCCCCAAAAAGCAACCCCAAATTATTTAACTAATAAACCCTTCAATTTTATCAAACTACCACAATATTTCCACCATACACTAAATCACCTCTATACAAACAAAACCACCATTGCTTTGAATTGACTCAACTAATAAACCCGTACTGTTTGCACGTGTCCAGGTTTCAAGGGGTACTTCAAGTGGCACCGGTCTCAGCATTTGTAAGATACTCTTTATACAACACGTTGTTTTACCCAAAATGACACCGTTAAATAAATCAACTAAACGCCGGTATAGGTGACTGACAAATAACGGTATGGACACGAGCCGATCGATCGTCAACTTAATCGGTACGTGCTATCGTTATACCTCACACGTTTTCAGTGATAAGAAAATTATATGTTAAGTTTGTCGATCGGAAATACGTGTATTGAAATAATTTGGATGCAATTTGCAGGCGCACGTGACGAGCAACTTCGATGAAATCTGAGGAGCGTCACACAACTTTGTTCGTGAGAAGATGACAGCTGAACTGATGGTAGCTTCATGTTTCCATTCGTGTAGCCTTTATGTTATGTGTTGCACTTTTTGTGGAGTCGAATTTCTTCTTTCTGTGGCTGGTAATAAGTTCTTCAGTTTATGGCTTGGTTAGGTACAGTTGTTTATGTGCAATTTCTTGTGCAGTGTTTTGTGCAAATATTGGTGGCACTGTAAACAAAAATATGTTCATGTAATTTTATGTCTGTTTTTAGGAAGATGGAAAATTGATGAGGTGCCTGAAAGAAAATGGCGGTGAAGAGGTCACTGCAGACAAAGAATAGTGAACAAGTAAGTGAAATAACTTAAGTTTTCAAACACCTTCCAAATTTTCAAATGTAGAATGTTTGGAGGGGATCTGGATTCAGAATATGAAAATTTCGAGATTTTATATAAAATTCTTGCAATGTTATTTTATTCGTATCTACAATGCTACTACAGAATTTTAATATTATGATTTATAATAATTCGTCTTAAAAAAGTGGCAAAATAAATGGAGGTTTTTCGCTACCTTATGTAATATCGGTGTTTGGAGATTTAAATTTTCTTCCCTCTTGCGACGTTCTTATTGTCGACATCACTCCCTCAGCGACAACAGAATTGTAAAATATGACACGCACGTCTTAACAATCTTTAAATTAATAAATCACATTGATTAATTGTTAAATATTGTGGATATGTTTATGCAAACATAACGTTTGAAAATATGCAATATACATAGAGTATTTGTAAGACTCTCGTTATATGCCGTTTACGGGTAGGAGTAAATTCTTGAAGATGACAATTAATCAGGAAGTTCCATCTATTCGAAAGTATCAATGTAACAATTTATTTTGTGAGATATAAAAATATTTACTAGTTGAGGAAACTTATTATTGTTAACTGTAATTTAACAAGCAGTTATTATAACTAATTTTCAAAATATGTACTAGTTGAGGAAACTTATTATTGTTAACTGTAATTTAACAAGCAGTTATTATAACTAATTTTCATTTGAGTTGCAATATTACAATTATGAAAAACAAGTTATATTATTTTCTGCAACTCGTTTATATTTGCATAAACATCCGTTAACGCCAGGTTATTACAGCGGTAAATATGTACATACCGAACCAAAATTTTCCATGTTCATATCGTATATTCCTCCTGCTGACAACTTACACGGTTTGCTGGCCCTGACTAACATTATGTGAAGCACTTTCTGAAATTTCACGGGTACTTCGTGCCATTTGGAAAAGTATCTGAAAATATCTTTCCTAAATAATTCAAATAATTACACTATCTGAATATTCATTATAATCATGAATATTACAGTTATGATCATTACTAATATTACATTATAATCATTACAATTCTATGTACAATAAATAACAGTATATTCATTGTACATAAAATTCAATGTACCAAGCATACAAAAAAATTATGCATAATCTTCACATAGTAATTTCTGAGTATATTTTGAAATATAACTAAAATTCTGGACTATTCTAAATTGTATTCTAGAATTCTAAAATAGTAGCAGATACAAACATATCCTCGGCTAATACGGAACTTCGATCCAGAAGTACTTGGCCAGGCAGGCTTAAAGCATACAGATGAAACTGTTGACCAAACAGGAAGATTAAAATTCTAAACGCTTCTTCCGGCCGATTGAAGTTCATCACTGCCTAAAAAAAGAGCATAAAATTATGTTTGTGTCTCTTAATATTGCAATTAATTAAAAACCTAGTTTGTGAATGGAATTTTTACTTGAACTGCAGTTGAAGTTATTCCCAGCATGTTCAGAGCGACTTGAAACAGATAACTGGTGCGAGTACTGTCGACCATGTACTCGTAGAATCTTGACATGTAACGTCATAATAAATTAATAAAATATTGGAGATTAGGTGCTTCAACTTACACATGATAATTAAGTGTTACTACTAACTTGATGGCTTCATGATGAGTGTTCACGCAACGTTTGAACAAATGATATTTACGCTCATTTCTTAAAGTACTATCCATTTCCATGATTTCCGCTGCCTTCTTTATTTGGTACCTGTATTTACAAACATTTCAATAAATAATTAACTTTTATTTTGCCTGTTATTTTACAGGATAGATATATATACTATTATACAGTAGACGCTCGATAACTGGTTGTCGTATAAGTGACTGTTAGGAAATTGTTCCCGCGCATGCGCACACTTCAGGTAAATACGCATGCGCACACTATGCAAGTATGTTCCTAACAGGGACTCGCACGGCAGTATTCTGTATTATTAATAAATTGTTAAACGTACCCGCACAAAATGAATACTCCACAGATATAATGAAATATAACCATGTACAACGAATCCATAGTGATAATAACCAACGCGATAACCGTTGTACACACAGCTGAATGCAAATACACGAGGTAAAAGTAATCTTCAGTGTCTACGATATAATTCAGCTTGAACAATGGTACCTTTGGTCGGGTTTTGTTCGTGTGTGAAAAGTAGTCCAGTACCGGAGCGGACATCGGAATCGATAGGAATACTAACAAAACCCCCCATATACTAACTGAAAATTTTGGACGTAACTTGCAACTGACAATACGTGAATATAAAAGGATACATGCTCAGAATTTGATTAACAGTCATTGAAAGATGTCGTGGTGTTTACTTCTGTATAGTGTACCCATTCTTGTCCCTTGTTGAGTGACTTCGTTCAGGACGTGTATTTCATCGTTTATCTCAGAGATCTCCCATTGCTTGCACATCCGATCGAATAAAGTGTCGAACTGTAAAACAAGGTGTAATTAATAACAATTCTTATGTGTTTCTGATTTTAAGAATCTTCACCTTCTTCCTGTTGATGTTGTGGTTCAGCAGTTTTATTGCTGACACAGAACCTGTTGCCATATATGGCACTGACTCCATCAAGGCGTCCATGTCTTTATCTCTTATGGATGTAAAGAATTGTAATAACTAGAATATAATATTTAAGTGAAAACTGTATGTAGTTAGCTGCAAATTGTAATTTCTGCCATAGTGTGTTAAGGATGTTACACGTTAATGTTTACTGCATTTGTAAAATATTTAGGGGCATGAAATTTTATAGCTCTGCACATTGCATGACCCTAGGTCACTTATGTACTTAGCAGGTTATTACATGTTGCATCTATACATTGTATCACTAAGTGAGAGCATCTTAGGCCAATGTGTGTTATATCACCTCCTGTTATATTACCACGTGTTATAGTACCATGTATTCTATTACTGCATGTTAGATCACTAAATGAATCGTCACGTACTGCAAAATGTTCCTTGAAATTGTCACAACATAATTTTTTATTCAACTGTTACTCATTATAATATAACGGCAATATAACGAGATTCTGTGATAACTAGCAACGCACTATTATTAGAAAACGCATCATTTTACTTACTACCGGAATAAGAATGCTTATCGAAATGCCAGAAATCACTGTCAAATTCACAGTATGGCTCCGCTTCGTTTGATACGGATACTGTCCCAGGACTATCAAATACTCTCTGAACACTCTGTAACAGGGTAGCTCAAACGCATTCCTCTTAAGTTCCTCACTTTTCCGTAACACTGAATATTAAATTAATTATTGGAGTATCGGTACAAGTTCTGTAATATTACTTTCTCAAACTAATTTGTTTCTCTATTTATTTTATGCGCGACGTATTTCAATACACTTGTCATACGTTGCGGTAATTGCGATGCAACTTCTATTTGCTAAATCAATTAATATACAGAATTGACCATACAATTATTTAAATTAACAGTTCTATTTCGGTGCTATGAACATTCCACTTCGCGAACACTTTCAAATTTTTACGCACAAAACTATGACTAACAATTGTATGGACAATTCTGTCAAATACTGAAAAAAATACGCACTCTTAATTCTTGATGTTAATTTCGTACAGTTCACGCAGTTTTGTGTTTTGGACGCAGCTTAGAGTATCGAGACCGACCACACTTACGCAAACGTTGACGAGAAACTAATCAGGCAAGGTTGTAATCCTTCTTTCGCGGAATAAAGTCTCGGTTTTATATAGTAGATAAATGTTTCAACTCCACTCATTGTCAAGCAGTATAGATTGCCATCGTTCTTATTTGAATGAGGTGGCAGGTACTCATTATTGTATTGCTCCCGCTTCATGATATTGTAAAACGCCGAACTCGTGAGGAAATAACACATGGGCGCTGATGAACTCCCCTTCGTTATATCATGGCGCAAAGAAGCAATCAGTCGTTTCAAGACTGCCCCAATGTTGTTCAATATTTTAATTGACATTTTTCCTCCGGCACGGTGAGGTACATGTATGTGTTTAATTAAAAATTGTGCGACACATGAAGAAATTATCACTTCTGGGCGACTGGTTAGAAGAAGGGTTGCAAGTGTCAGAACACAGAAGAATTGCGACAGAGAAGTACTTGTAAGTTGGAAACATTGCAACTTAGTTTAAAAATTGGAAGCTTTGGAAATCTAGTAATTATATTTGGAAACTGCAACTTCCTTAAATGGTAAGTGAAATTTAAAGAATTCAAAGAAGTAAAAATTAAGAAATTTATGAAGTTTACAATTTTGAAGTTAAGTTATAGAATTCTGGTGTTGTTTTGCTGTAGTATGAAATTTGCATTTACCTCTTCAGGAATAATTATTATTTTATTATGTACTATTTTATTTTTGTCTAAATTATTTTTAATATGGTTTGAGTATTTGAATATTTAAAGATTGGTCATTTCTATGTTTCCAAGTATTTAAATTAACAAATATCAATTAATAAATTTAAAAATTCGAGAGTTGGAAAAATCTTATAATTAAAACTTAATTTGAAAGCCCTCCAAATTTTCAAATGTAGAATGTTTCTGGAGAGGATTCAAAAGGGAACTAAGAAAATTGTTAATGCTCAGAGTTTTAGAATGTGAGAATTTATATAAAATTCTTGTAGTGTCATCATTTTATATTTATCTAAAATGCTACTACAGAATTCTAATAATATAACGAATTATAATTTAATAAAAGTAATGAATGGAGATTTTTTGCTACTTTATACAATACTGCCGTTTGGAGATTGAAATCTTTTTCCGTGACAACTTGCGACCGTCGTTGACAAGTCAGTCCCTCAGCGACAGCAGAATTGTAAAATACGACACGCACGTCTTAACAATCTTTAAATTAACAAATTACATTGATTATTAATTGTTAAATATCGTGGATGTGTTTATGCAAATATAACGTTTGATAATATGCAATATACATAGAGTATTTGTACGATTCTCGTTATATGGCCGTTTACGGGTACGAGTGAATTCTTGAAGATGGCAATTAATCAGAAAGTTTCATCTATTCGAAAGTATCAATGTAACAATTTATTTTGTGAGATATAAAAATATGTACTAGTTGAGGAAACTTATTATTGTTAACTGTAATTTAACAAGCAGTTATTATAACTAATTTTCATTTGAGTTGCAATATTACAATTATGAAAAACAAGTTATATTATTTTCTGCAACTCGTTTATATTTGCATAAACATCCGTTAACGCCAGGTTATTACAGCGGTAAATATGTACATACCGAACCAAAATTTTCCATGTTCATTTCGTATATTCCTCCTGCTGACAACATACACGGTCTGCTGGCTCTGACTAACATTATGTGAAGCACTTTCTGAAATTTCACGGGTACTTCGTGCCATTTGGAAAAGTATCTGAAAATATCTTTCCTAAATAATTCAAATAATTACACTATCTGAATATTCATTATAATCATGAATATTACAGTTATGATCATTACTAATATTACATTATAATCATTACAATTCTATGTACAATAAATAACAGTATATTCATTGTACATAAAATTCAATGTACCAAGCATACAAAAAAATTATGCATAATCTTCACATAGTAATTTCTGAGTATATTTTGAAATATAACTAAAATTCTGGACTATTCTAAATTGTATTCTAGAATTCTAAAATAGTAGCAGATACGAACATATTCTCGGACAACTCGGAGCTTCGATCCAGAAGTACTTGTCCAGGCAAACTCAAGGTGTACAAATGAAACTGTTGGCCCAGTAGGAACATAATAATTCTAAACGCCTCTTGCGGTTGATCAAAGTTCATTACTGCCTAAGGAAAGAGCATAAAATTATATTTGTATCTCTTAATACTGCAATTAATTATAAAATTAGTTGGTGGAAGTATTCTTACTTGAACGGCTGTTGAAGTAATTCCCAGCATGTTCAGACCGACTTGAAACAAATAACTGGTGCGAGTGCTTTCGTTCATGTACTCGTAAAATCTTAACATGTAACGGCATAATGAATTAATAAAATATTGGAGACTAACGGTTTGCTTCAACTTACGCATAACTCCTCATTAAGTCTGTGTTACTAACTTGATAGCTTCATGATGAGTGTTCACGCAACGTCTGAACAAATGATATTGATGCTCACTTCTTAAAGTCCTATTCTTTTCCATGGTTTCCGCTGCCTTCTTTATTTGGTACCTGCATTTACAAACATTTCAATGAATAATTAACTTTTATTTTACCTGTTATTTTGCAGAATAGACATATGTACTATTATACAGTGGACGCTCGATAACTGGCTGTCGTATAAGTGGCTGTTACGAAAGTCTACTCACGCGCATGCGCACATCTCAGGTAAATACGCATGCGTGCACGATGCAAGTGCGTTCCTAACAGGGACTCACACGGCAGTATTATGTACTACTAATAAATAAATTGTTAAACATACCCGCACAGAGCAAATACTCCACAGATGTAATGAAAGATAACCATGTACAAGGAATCCATAGCGATTATAACTATCACTATCGTCAGTGAACAACAAACCGAATGCAGATACACGAAGTAAAAGTAGTCGTCGGTATTTACGATGTAATTCAACTTGAACAACGGTATCTTTGTTCGAGTTTTGTTGGACTGTGAAACAAAGTCCAGTATCGGGGCAGACAACGGCAGAGACAAGAATAGTAACATAAACACCCATAGGGAAGCTGAAAATTTTGTAGATGACTTACAACGGATAATATGTAATGATTATGTTCAAAATTGAAAGAACTACTTCTGTATAGAGCACCCATTTTAGTTCCCTGCTCAGTGACTTCGTTCAGGACGTGTATTTCGCCGTTGATCTCAGAGATCTCCCACTGCCTGCACATTCGATCGAATAAGTTCTCGAACTGTAAAACAAGTTTTAATTAATAACAACTCAATTCTGTAGTATTCTTGATTTTATGAATTTTTACCTTCTTTCTGTTGATATTATGGTTCAACAGTTTTATCGCTGACACGGATCCCGTCGCCATATATGGCACAGATTCCATCAACGCGTCTATGTCGTTCTCCCGTATGGATACCACGAACTGTATTAACTAGACTTATAATGTTTAAATGAAAAATCGTTGTTTTAAGATAACAGTGGAGGCATTTATAAAATATGTAGGGGATTTAAATTTTATAGTCTTACACGTTATATGACCACAAAGAAATCCCTTTAGGTTCTGAACTGATAGATTACTACATGCTGCATTGCTACACGCTATTTCACTACGTGTTATATCACCTCATGTTATATCACCTCGTGTCATATCACCTTCTGTAATATCACCTCGTGTTATATCGCCTTGTGTTATATTGCCTCGTGTTATATCACCTCGTGTAACATCGCCTCGTGTTGTATCATCTTGTGATATATTACCTCGTGTTGTATCGCCTCGTGTTATATCACCTTGTGGTATATTACCTCGTGTTATATCGCCTCGTGCTATATCATTCATTATCAACTCATTACGTTACTAACTATAAAGAATTTTCTCTTTCTATACCCCGTGGCAATATATTGAGAGTCTCCACTAATTACCAAATTGCTCCTAATATCAATAATGTGACAAGGTGCAAAAACTTCAGACTGAAATGGCCATATAACGTGATACCAACGTTTTACTCTTTTTGAAAAACATGTCGTTTTACTTACGACAGGAATAAGAATGCTTATCGAAATGCAAGAAATCACGGTCACATTTACATTATGGCTGCGCTCCGTTTGATACGGATACTGTCCCAGGACTAATAAATACTCCTTGAATACTTTATAACAGGGTAGATCAAACGCATGCCTCTTATGTTTCTCACTTTTCTGTAACACTGAATATTAAATTAATCATTGTAATATCGGTACAAGTTCTGTAATATTACTTTCTCAAACTAATTTGTTTCTCTATTTATTTTACGCGCGACGTGTTTGAATATACTTGTCATACGTCGCGGTAATCGCGATGCAACTTCTATTTGCTAAATCAATTAATATACAGAATTGACCATACAATTATTTAAATTAACAGTTCTATTTCGGTGCTATGAACATTCCACTTCGCGAACACTTTCAAATTTTTACGCACAAAACTATGACTAACAATCGTATGGACAATTCTGGCAAATACTGAAAAGAATACGCACTCTTAATTCTTGATGTTAATTTCGTACAGTTCACGCAGTTTTGTGTTTTGGACGCAGCTTAGAGTATCGAGACCGACCACACTTACGCAAACGTTGACGAGGAACTAATCAAGCAAGGTTGTAATCCTTCTTTCGCGGAATAAAGTCTCGGTTTTATATAGTAGATAAATGTTTCAACTCCACTCATTGTCAAGCAGTATAGATTGCCATCGTTCTTATTTGAATGAGATGGCAGGTACTCATTATTGTATTGCTTCCGCTTCATGATATTGTAAAACGCCGAACTCGTGAGAAAATGACACATGGGCGCTGATGAAATCCCCTTCGTTATATCATGGCACAAAAAAGCAATCAGTCGTTTCAAGACTGCCCCAATGTTGTTCAATATTTTAATTGACATTTTTCCTCCGGCACGGTGAGGTACATGTATGTGTTTAATTAAACATTGTGCGACACATGAAGAAATGATCATTTCTGGGCGACTGGTTAGAAGAAGGGTTGCAAGGGTCAGAACACAGAAGAATTGCGACAGAGTAGTACTTGTAAGTTGGAAACATTGCAACTTAGTTTAAAAATTGGAAAATTGGAATATATGGAAATATCAACTTCAAATGTAACTGTGAGATTTAAGTGTAATTTAACGTGCAATTTAAACTGTAAAAATGAAGAAATTTTTAAAGTTTACGATTTTGAAATGAAGTTACTAAACTTTTGTGTCGTTTTGCTGTAATATGAAATTGGTATTTATCTTTACAGGTATTAGTATTATTTTATTCTTGTGCAGATTATTTTTACATTGATTCTATAGTAATACGATATAAACGGCTTACTATTATGAATATCACTATCTTCTAAATATGTTTCGTTATTTTGGCTTTTTCGTTTATAACATAAGCACTGTCTGCAGCTTTTCTCGCCAGCTTTGCAAGCATTCGCTTATTTGCATCCATTGTGGTATTACTCCCTTAAGGATAACAGAATTGTACAATATGACATGCAGCTCTTGAACATCTGTATCAATGGATTATTAAATTATTACTTTAGTTATTTATAATTAGCTAGTATTAGATCATGAATGTTACAATCTTATATTAGGAGAGTGTTGTGACATTATCACAAGAGCTTATTGTTGTAATTTACCTTCAATATAATAAATTACGTATGATAAGAAGCTGAACATTGGCAATAAATTTAATGTGAGTAATCTCTTTTTTCTGATGTAAAATAAGCTCTTCTATAAACATCCCCTGTTTATTATGTTACAATAATTCTATACGCACCGTTCCAAAACTCTCGATGTTCATATCATATAATCCTCCTGCAGTCAGTTTACATGGTCTGATAGACCTTGTTAACATTATATGCAGTATTACTTGATACTTAACTGGTATTTCGTGCCATTTGGAACAGTATCTGAAAATATCTATGCTAAATAATTCAAATAATTAAACTATCCGAATGTTCACTATAATCGCAGCATATTCGAAATTCAGTGTATACTTCTACCATGTAGCAAATACTTGTATAAAAAAGAAATCCATGGTCCCACACAATTTCACACTATAATTTCAGATTATGAAAAATTTCGAAACTGAAATTGTTTTATAAAATGTGGTAGAAAATTATAAATATACGAACATATTATCGGATAACTCGGAGCTTCGATCGAGAAGTACTTGGCCAGGCAAACTTAAGGTGTACAAATGAAACTGTTGGCCGAATAGGAACATAGCAATTCTAAACGCTTCTTGTGGACGATCAAAGTTCATCACCGCCTAAAGAAAGAGCATAAAATTATGTTTGTGTCTCTTAATATTGCAATTAATTAAAAACCTAGTTTGTGAATGGAATTTTTACTTGAACTGCAGTTGAAGTAATTCCCAGCATGTTCAGACCGACTTGAAACAAATAACTGAGGCGAGTACTGTCGTCCATGTACTCGTAAAATCTTGACAAGTAACGTCATAATAAATTAATAAAATGTTGGAGACTAGGGTGCTTCACTTACATATAATTCATAATTAAGTGTTATTACTAACTTGATGGCTTCATAATGAGTGTTCAGGCAACGTTTGAGCAAACGATATTTATGCTCATATTTTAAAGTACTATCCGTTTCCATGATTTCTGTTGCTCTTTTAATTTGGTACCTGCATTTGCAACAAACATTTCATTGAATGATTCTTAACTTTTATTTTGTCTATTATTTTACGGGGCAGATACATGTAATTACGAGTATACAGTTAGACGCTCTATAACTGGCTGTTGCATAAATGACTGTTAGGAAAGTCCGCTCACGCGCATGCGCACACTCGCTGTAAATAGGCGCGTGTATGTGATGCACAAAGTGCGTTCCTAACAGGGCGTACACAGCAGTAATTATGTACTATTAATAAATAAATTGTTAGACGTACCCGCACAGAGCAAATACTCCACTGATATAATGAAAGATAACCATGTACAATGAATCCATTACAATTATAACCAATGAGACAGCTAGTGAACAAATAGCCGAATGCACATACACGTAGTAAAAGTGGTCTTCGGTATTTATGAGGTAGTTCAGTTTGAACAATGGTATCTTTGTTCGAGTTTGGTTCGATTTTAAAATGAAGTCCAGTACCGGAGAGGACAACGGGATCGATAGGAATATTACCAAAACCCCCCATATACTAACTGAAAATTTCGTACATAACTTGCAACTGACAATACATAAATATAAAAGGATACATGCTCAGGATCGGTTAACATTTATTTAAAGTTGTCGTGGTGTTTACTTCTGTATAGTGTACCCATTCTACTTCCTTCCTTGGTGACTTCATTCAAAACGTCTATCTCATTGTTTAACTCGGACATTTCCCATTGTTCACACATGTGTTCGAACATGTTTTCAAACTGTAAAGTGTATCATACTAATTACATCGTCTTTTTATGCGTCATTGTTGCGATAGTACCTTTTTCCTGTTGATGTTGTGATTTACTATTTTGATTATTGAAACCGATATTGTGGCAATAATTGGCACGCATTCCATCATGGTATCCATGTCCTTTTCTCGAAGGGACTTCACGAACTGGAATATCTGCAATTATAATATTTGAATGAAAAAATAATATAGCTATTTACGTAATATTATTCAAATCTTTCGTAACGTTTTTATGGGAATCAAATTTTAATTTTTATAGCGCATCGCGTTAAGTTACCACGCGCTAAATGGCGCGCAGTAGATTTTAATGCGCTGCGTTGCTATGCACTGTATTACTACGCGTTAGATAACCACGCGCTGCACTACTACGCGTCAAATTACTACGCGCTAAATCACGGCGTAAATCGCAGTGCGTATTAATTTAAGATTGTATTAAATTATCATCCACTGTGCTCCTACACATATCCCCACGTAGCGATACATTTTCGGAAAAAGTCCTTACTTACTGACGGAATAAGAATGCTGAGCGAACAGCAAACCACCACAGTCACATTGATTTTATTGCTTCGTTCCGATTGCTTTGGATACTGTCCCAGAACTATCAAATACTCTTTGAACACTTTGTAACATGGTAGATCAAACGCATGCCTCTTCCGTCTCACACCTTTCTGCACTGAACATTAATCGACGTAATATTAAAACGCTACCACATATTTATCTCTCGAGAGTAATCTCGATACTACTTGCAAAATTAATACTGACAACAGAATGATCCTCTCAATTATAATTCATAGTTCAATATGTCTGATTCACGAAATACTTCGACTTAGACTGACATTTTTAAAAAAAAAGAAACCGTTAAAATTTTCAGTCACCAGGCGCGTCAACCGCACCTGGATCGGGCAATTGCATCGAGGAGAAAACTATGAATTATAGTAGATAGATTTTAGGCAGGCAAATGTTAATGACAATACATTAATTGTTTCTTACTATTTCCATACTTTTATGTTTCAGAAACGAGAAGCAATCTTCAAACGATGTTTGACACGAGAGTGATGGAAAATGTGGCCACCTTTTATACTGAAAAAGCGAGGAATTAATGTGTCTTCCATATAAGAAGCTCTCTGTTTGAATGACAGAACGTAAATTTTGCACCTTGGCTTATCGAGCCTCTTGTCACCGTACCTGATTATATCAATTGACAAGTATGGATTAGGGTTATAGCTTACGGGTTAGCCTGTAGAAACCATAAGCACAAGGTTCATGAGAAAATGACATTTGGCCAATTCCGATAATTCCATCTTCAATCGTGTTATAAATTGCTCGAAGATTTCTATTTTCTAGCTGTAAATATTTTACTTGACGTTTTTATTACATTGTATCGTATTATCCACACTCGAATGTAATATTCAACAGTCCTTTGTGCATAAAAGAAAGTATGAAAATATACGCATCGGAAATTGCAAGCAGAGCGAATTCTGTTAGTTTGAACTTGGACGTGATGCTCGAAGCTTCTCTCGCGTCATCGAGCATAAATCTTGAACAATGTGAATCGTAAGTTAACCTGTAATTCATTGCAACTCTTCGGAAGCTGACACGATTCGATGGGCTGTTTTACATCTAACAGTTGCAACGTTGTTGAAATTCTCCTCTCAGGATAATGAAGATAATTAAAATCATCTTTACCAAGTTGTCAACTGTCTTCCTTGTTGCTGTCATTCTTGAATGAACAAGGTTAGCGCTGTCTTTACATATTTACGAATTTGAAAAATTTATTAGATGCTGTAGTATTTATACTGGTTGCCATAATCATGGAATAATTAATAATGAATCATGAATTAAAACTTTTACGTGCTAGACCGTTAAACTACTTCGAAGCCCAAAACAGGTTTCCCGCCAAATCCAAAATGAGAATACAAGACTCGTTTGAAACCTTCAAATAATTGTTAATGTAATAAAATATATTACCATCAAATGATAAAAGAGAACTTTTATAAGAAATATCTTTATTAATTATAATTATACATATTATGTACAAATAGTATTTAAAATAATGAGAATAGGACATGTTGAGATTAACCTGTCCTCTTTATGTCTAATATAAAATTTGAAGGTTAAACTTTAAATTTATCTCTTCAATAAATTTTAGGCATATTATCATACTGTTCTCAAATTATTTTATCTAACTTTCGAGAGATGTCGCTACAATATCGTGTCCTGCAGGGAAGTTCCCATGACGATGTGACCTCAAAATGTCTAGTTACTAGATGTCGCTTCTCGTTTTTCACTAGCACGACGCGGGTTGCTACAGCCATCTACCTGCAACCTTAACATGTTGCGAGTTACCAATCCAGTATTGAACTCTGCATCGCAAGTCACGTTTATAAACGTACTTTCCTGGTTTGTTGTTCGCTTGCTCGGTGTTTTGTATATGTTTATATCGGTTTTTTGTGTAAAAACTATATCATTATCACAATGAGTGCCGAGGAGGAAGTGTTGCGGATTCAAAAAAAGTTAAACAAGATGTCGAGCGGTGACGGGACGGTGAGTAAGTGAGTAAAATAATAGTTGTGTATCGCTCGGCACATTAGGGGCTGCTCAATGAGAACAAAAGCCACTTTTCCAACTTAAAATGCAATTACTCTGTTAACCCGAATATGTGCAGTACGTATATGCGAGTGCAGCATTGTATAACATTGTTGTTTCGAAAGAAGTATTTATGTTTATGTGTATAAGTTTGTGTGACTGGGTATCAACTAATGTATCACAAGGTATTGTGGAGCTTAGATATCTGACGTACTAATTTTAACGCGTTCGTAAAGCTTAGCAAACCATGTTCTCATTATCAAATTTGGTGTATATTTTCACTTATTTAAACAAGATACTGGTTTGCAAAGATTTATCACTGTATTCGTTCAATACATTCCAAGAACGATGAATTATCTCATTGTAAACTTATTTATTTGCATCAGATGTGATACAAAAGAAGTAAATTATCAGCAGGAATGGTGTCATTACATAAAATTCACCATATGTTTTGGTGATAAAGATGTCTAATGAACATTTTTTAAATCATACTTCCAATAAAATAATTTCGTATTAGATTAATATTATATATATATGTAATTTATGTTACGACATAAAAATTCTACTAAGTTTTATATTTTTTGTTAAATAAATGTTTGTTACAGGGGCAGGAACAAGCATTGGAATTACTTAAAATATTGCAAAAGCTGCCTGTTGATTTGGAACTTCTCACTAAGACACGAATTGGAATGACCGTTAATGCATTAAGAAAATCGAGCAGAGATGAAGAAGTTATATCGTTAGCAAAGACACTTATAAAAAATTGGAAAAAGTTTTTATCCGGTAAGTTGACACTATGTAACAAAATATGCGAGAACTGTATTTACAATTGTAATGTATTAAATTTGTGAAGGATCCAACAAGGAAAAAGATTCTACTTCATCGAGTAGTTCAAAGAAGAAAGATGACAAATCAGAAAAGAATAAAGATGACGGAGATCAAAAGAAAGATAAGGACTCCATAGATGGAAATGATGTTAAAATGAAGGAGGAGAAACCTCACAAGGATATTCAGAGAAAACAATCAACGTTCCCAGCTCCTACCACAACAGATGCGGTGAGGCTTAAATGCAGGGAACTTCTGGCAGCAGCTTTAAGAGTGGATGGAAATACGATCGAAGGATGTGCTTCGCCAGAAGAATTGGCAGAAGAACTAGAAGAAGCAATTTATGCAGAGTTTAAAAATACTGATAACAGATACAAAAACAGGGTAAGTGTTCTATCAGCCACGTGCTTCTGTGTTTTATCAAAAATATGTAATTGTAAATGTTTGTTCAGGTGCGTAGCAGAGTTGCTAATTTACGTGACGCAAAGAATCCTAATTTGCGGACGAATTTCATTGCTGGTGCAATAACGCCTGCTAGGCTTGCTGTTATGACTGCTGAAGAAATGGCGAGCGATGAAATAAAACAGTTAAGGGAACAGTTTAAAAAGGAGGCAATCAACGATGCTCAACTTGCTACAGTGCAAGGAACAAAAACTGATTTGTTGAAATGTGGAAAATGCAAAAAGCGCAATTGCACTTACAACCAAGTACAAACGCGTTCGGCTGATGAACCTATGACCACTTTCGTGCTATGTAATGAATGCGGGAACCGATGGAAGTTCTGTTAAACGTTCTAACTTCGTATGGTTATTTTTGATCGATATGGAAAGCAAGATGTGTTTCGTTCAAGACCTACGTATTAATCGACACGTATTAAAATTAATGAGACGTCATTGGATGTATATTGCATAAAAATTTCTCATTCACAGAGTGTATATTAATCGTTTAATGATGCTTTTAATCTCTTCACAAGTTTCTAAGTACTTGGTTTTCATGCTACTGTATATATTGACATTGTAATGTACTTTAGGACTCAGCTTCGTAGAATTCGAATCAAACCGAAGAGAAACTGGATAAATTAGACGGACTGAAAATACTTCGAATTCTTTTAAATAATGCGTCAATGTTGGGAGTTGTAACACGCGAGTCATATTAAAAGTAAGATATTTCATTTTACATTGTACGAGTTTACACACATGTCTTATCTCTGAAAATTTCGAAATTGTGGGTACAGTACTGAAATACATGGTATGTAATTACAGTGTAGCGTTTTTCAAACCCTTAATGTGAAAGTCCAAACTTCATAGTCTCAGATATATTTAACCGACGCTCATAAATATATTTGAAATTATAATATTTTCTTATTACATTTTTTAAATATTTATAGAGTTATACATCGACTAGGTTCAATGTTGTGTTTCGTTTCAAAGGTCTTAAAATGTTTTATCCCGCCTTTTTTAGGTTGAGTTATCGGGTCTCGAGGATAGGTTGGGTTTGTGTTAGGTTAGGTATATCTTCAAGTGCCTATTATTAGATTTCTATTCTTAAAGTCATATTTATATAGAAGCATATTTTCAAAGGCTGTTTAAAGCTGCATAGATTTGTTATTACTTTTTGGTATCATATGAATTTTAAAGTCCCGAGATTATGTCGGTCATAAGTTCATTTAGGTTATGTAAACGTTAAATCAGATGTTACATTAGGTTAGGTGAGAATCTAACCTAACCATGACATAACCCCAAACAATAAATACAATTCGCTTATAGCAGTTGTAACAAGTAACTTGAATTACATAACTCAAACTACAATGTAATTCAGGTCATGCAACTGTTAGTATAGATGTCTCTGCAATCTTTTCAGTACTGTAGTTTATTCTGTACACAAAAATTATAACAAGAATGTTAAGAAAAAGGGAGATATCCTTTTATTCTTGTAATTACATGTCTATTTTGCTTTCTTGCTCTTAATTTTCCTCATGTAAAATTCAAGTTCTTTTCCTTCAAGTATGTAACCATCAGCCCGACCGCACTGTCCAGGTCTACTTGCTATGCAGGCTGAAATTTAAATTTATGTTTAGTATTCCAAAGTTTTGTGTATCAGTTCTCACTGTTCTGTACATTCAATTTTCTGCACATTGCTTACCAAGTACACGTCCTGTGGCAAATTGTTCTTCCAAAGCAGGTTCAACTTTGGCAAACCGCTGTCTCGCTTTGTATTTGGATTCAACCTTCTTTGAGCGTTTTTTGTTTAAAACTTCTTCTTCGGCTTCGGTCTATAAATACATGCTATTTTATTAAATCGTCTAATATCCAATAATATTAAAAACTGGAAAATCTAAATACATACTAATTTAGCTCCTCGTTTACGACCCAGGGGTAAAACATAGTGGCTCTCGTACCACTGTCTGAAAGGTGTTGCGTCGATGGTAACAATCGCATTTTTTACTAGAGTCTTGGTTCTCACTAATTCATTGTTTGATGCATTGTAAACGACATCAATAATACGGGTCTTCCTCGTAGTGCATTCTGATCCCCAAGAGAAATTACCTGTGTCCAGACGCAGAGCTCTGTACTTTTTGTTTCCACCACGTGTACGCACCTGGTTTACACAGAAACAAGATATTTATTCACAATCACTATTACTTTAATTCCAAGTATTTTAATTGTAATACCGTATGGATGCGTTGAGCTCCAAGCTTGGTGTTTGCAGCAGGACGTCCTAATTCGAACTTCCTCTTCTTGCGAAGAGGTTTCCTTTTGCCACCAGTGGCACGTCTCTTATGCCAGTGATCACGAGAAATACCTGCAAACAATTAATTGCTCTTGTTTAAACCTACATCAAAACAAATGGAGAATAATATGGAAAACATGTACATAACCTCTATGCACTTTTAACTACTTGTACATTGCAAACAACTTAAAATTTCAGAAAGATAACATTGTCAGAAGTAAATAACAATAAATAAACGCAGAGGGAGATGCAAGTCTCACAATTATAAACATTTTATGTCAAAATAAGAAACAAATATTGTTAATATATAATTATTAAAGAGTCTAAAACTTTAGTTGTCAAAATAATATATACTGAAATGGGAAGGTGTAGTGTTTCAGTAACGTACAGAGGCTTAATTAACAATGATTGTTTATTTGAAAATATGGATTCAAATGGATGAAAACAAAACTCTCATAAAATCAAATAACTCACCCATGGTGGCTAGATTTAAAAGAACCTTAAACTATGCAATTTCTGATGATGTTTCTTTCTCAAACTTTGAGTGGGAACACTGCTGCCCTCCATTAACACAGGATTGAATCACTGTGATCATACATTTGTAACAAATTATAATTTATTATACTAATAAACGTCTGTGTGGTGATAAATTGCATGCTAATGAATTTATTTATTTAGTATTTTGCACTGTAGTTTTAAAGTGAGATGTTTTAGGAAGATCTGGGAATTCTCTGCCTTGTACCATAAATAACGTATGTGATAGATGAGTATATTTATACATATTTATTTTCTTGTACAATTTAAAATTTGATAATGCAGTTTCCTTCTGTTATATAGACTCGCCTTATATTGCCATTTACACAAGTTCAACCTTATAAAATATCTCTACATTAATACTATTTAATTCCAAAGCCTCAAGGTGCCATAATATACAGTTACAACATGTTGAAGCTTTTATACATTTAATTTGTAAGAACAACATTAAAAATTTATCTTACATTATTAAGAAAACCAGTACTAGCATAAGAAAGTTTCTTTTCAAGTAATAAATTAGAAACATTGAAGATATTTTAAGAAACACGTACTTATGCGCTATCCCATATTTGAATTTCGCGCGCGGTGGCTACAGAATGCTACGCGTGACGTCACTACGCCGTGACAGGTCACTGCAACAGAAAATGTTATTTTCATGAGAAATAAGACATTTCCGGGAATATTTCGGTACATTGGCGACGCATTATGGTTCCTGAGGCATTTAGAAACAAATTTCTATTAGGGTTTGATGCGTTTTGATGCCTAATAAAGCCAGAAAATCAATTTTTGTCGAATTCGGTAAAAAACGGTACAGGTGGCGCCATCTAGCGGCGAGCGGCGGAACTACAAAAAACTAAAATCTCGATTTTCTCGAAAACTAGCGACTTTTCCGAAATTCTGAGATATACAAATTGTTCCTTGTCGCCTACGGAATCGAACGAGCGACTTTTCCGAAAGGGACTTTTCCGAAATTCTGAGATATACGAATTGTTCCTTGTCGCCTACGGAATCGAATGAGTGCTTTCATAGCCCTCTAGGACCCTTATTAAGGAAATTAGAAAAATAGCCCATTTCATGGACCAAAAAATTGCCGTCCATCTAGCGGTGAAAGTTGGAACTACAAAAATAGAAAATCTCGATTTTCTCGAAAACTAGCAACTTTTCCGAAATTCTGAGATATACAAATTGTTCCTTGTTGCCTACGGAATCGAA